GCGTTTTTACATAAAAAAAATCAAAAGAAAACGCCGGAACCCATAGTTCCGGCGTTTTATATAAATAAATTAAAAGAAAACGCCGGAACCTATAGTTCCGGCGTTTTTATATAAAATAATTAAAAGAAAACGCCAGAACCCATAGTTCCGGCGTTTTTATTAAAAAAAATTAAAAAATATGCCGGAAGCAATAGTTCCAGCATTTTTGTATAAAAAACCTATTAGTTCTGGTGTTTTTTATATTTAAGAAAACACCAAAACTGAATTGCGGAATTACGGGCTACTAACCGCAATTCAACTTCAAAATCCGTAATATTGCGGAATTTGAAAATCATTTGCGGACCCATCCTTAATCGAGGGCAATATGCTTTCCCATTGCTTTCGATGATTTGCCCTAGATATGTCTTGAGAAGTCTTTTCGATCATATCCATCCCATTTGTTTGCCGGAAGTGCACCATGTTGCAACCTGGCTATTGTCTATTAGTTGTCAGTATAATTATGTGGTGGATAAATCCATGCGAGCGTAGCGCCTCTCTTTAGGTCGGCAAGCGCCCATGGTCCTGTCAATTCCATGTTCGAGGTTGGAGACTAGGAGGTGCATTTGTTATGGCCGGCCCATTTGATTACTACCAGAAGTGCGCCATCTTGCAACCCATCTATCTAATGCCTATTTGTTGCCGGTAAAAGTATGGCAATTTGTTGATTCAGACCAGGCCCAAAATTGTATAGCTGGTTTGCGTTAATGAGGGCATCCTATACCTGAGTACATATCTAGAAAGATGAAGGCTTCTGCCAATATTTATACAATGATTATGGGCCTTCACATTTTGATATATATCCACGTCTAAGGGGGAAATAATTAATTGAATAAAAAATTATATAAGTATGTAATAGCGTGAAAGTAAGAGATAACATCATGGTTAGAAAATCTAGAAGTGATAAAAAAGATACAATTTGTAAACGTTGTAGTAAAGTGTGTGTAAATCCAAATAAACTTCGTGAACATCTTAGACAAAAAAATCCGTGCAAACCATTATCAGAGATAACTGCTTCTATTCAAGTTCCCATTTAAGTACCCATCCAAGCACCCATCCAAGAGGTTATCCAAAAATCTTCTATTAATGATACTCCCTTCAAAAATCCTAAAATAGAATGGATTTATCAGGATATAAAAAGAAAATTAGGCATTTTTAAAAACTTACAACAGGAAACAAGCTGTAGACCTGAGAACTTTGATAGAAAGCATTTTTACTTAGAGATGAAAAAAGAGGGTAATAGACCCTATACAGGTATGATTAAATCAAAATGGAGTTCGTTTTTAAATTCAGCATTCGATTATTTGCAACGGGATTTTGATAGAAGGAGAGGGTTTATATAGATAAGAAAGGGGTTGTAGCCGAAATTTGTAAAGAAATATTTCCAGAAAGGTTGCCAGAGGCAACAGGTGATACTGATATTCCTGTTCAAACTCCTGAACCTGAACTACAAATAACCGCTCAAGACCCTGCCCCCAAGCCAGAACTCATTCACAGGAGAAAGTATATTACCGAAGAGGAGACCAAAGCTTAGGTTAATCCAAATGCACGAAAACCCAGAGAGCGAATTAAGACATGGGGAGCAAGATTGCAAAAATGTTGGAAAGAATTAGATCTAGGTGATGAGCTAATTGAGGTAAATGATCTAGATGGTTGTAAAACGCTCTTTCATGATCTTGAGCAGTATGATCCAGAGGCAGTTCGCCTACCTACATTAAAAGAGTTAAAGAAATATGAAAAGATATTAGAGTCTGAAGGCGGTCCTGGACCTAAAACACAATCATTTAGGGAAGGTAATAATTTGATCAATAAAGAATTTGAGCGCTTAGGAGAAATTAAGGGGCCCAAAAGGTCAGAAAAGGATTTAGAATTTAGAGAACAAGAAGAATTGGGAACAGCGGTTAAAAGAAGAGCTATAGCCGTACATCGTGCAAAAGTTCCCAAATCCCATCCAGATAATGGAAGTGATATACGAAAAATGTTAGAAAGCCAAAGAAAACAGTTTAGAGAAATACTTGAAAAGGAATTCAATAAGCGTGGACAATTTAAGTTCGCTCTATGTTCTCTTACCAAATTTCTCATAGATGATAAACCTGGGAATGAAAAACAGGAAAAAAAGAATTTACGAACTGACTGGCTTAGAAATAGACAAATTATAGTTTATAATAGAAATGAAATAGATGATTACTTAAGCAATGCTTTCGAACAAATCCTATACCAAGTGGAGGAGAGAGGAGGTAAGACTAATTCTTGAGAATATATTTGGGTAGTAATACTGTGTCTGGCGGGACGATTTGCAGTTCTTCTCTTACAAATGAGCGTCTAGGACCCTTGTAAAGCTTGTAGAGAATAGGCTGATTTTCTTTCATCAAATAAGAATCAATTGTAAAAACTTCAGGAGACCAATTGCAATCAGTTGCCCTTCTTCTTCCACCTTCTAATTCACTGGGTTCTAATAGATGTCGAACTTCAGTATAGCTAGGTAAAAGTGGTTCATTATAACCAACTGGTCTCCTATGTTCGACAGAAGGTCTAGCTATTATTTTTTTACCTTTTAATGTCTTTTTTACAGCCTCGATAGGAGACATACCTATTAACAGAGTAGGAGTATTATTGAAAATATTATCATTTATACGAAGTCCTTTAAACCATGCCCTGGATCTATCAGTCAAAGGCAAATGAAAATCTTTAGCATCTTGCCGAAAATAAGCATGTTTTTCAAATTCTTGATGATCACATTCAGCAATAGCTACACCACGTTTAGAGTTAGCATACTGAATTCTAACACCATAGCTAAGCAATAAATCTCTACATTCACCCATATATTCAGTACCTCTATCTACAATAAAAGTATTTGGATAGCTAAGAGGATTATTAGGATCATCATAGATTTTCCAAATCGCTCTAGCCATCTGTAAGGCTGTTTTATCAGTCAATGCAAAACTACAACAATACCTAGTTGCAACATCTTTGATGACGCCCCTATACTTATAAATCTGAATACCTACTTTATCATGAGGCATGGGAGTAGTATCGCTCTGGTGCACTTCATTTAAAAAATGTATATTATTAAAGGAGGCATACTGAATAAATTTTAGCTGAGGCTTGTGAATCTGATGTAAAGCCTGCTTATTTAGCCAATTTTTTATAACAGCCAAAGTAAACCCATATCTGGCTTTCTTACAAGCCATTTGCATTTTTTCAGCAGACCGATAATATCCCTCAGATCTGTAATAAAGTTTCTGTAAAGCAAGATCCCGATCTAAGTCTCGAGCTTTTTGAGGAACAATATAAATAACCGGGGAGTCAAAGACTCGAAGCCTTGCTTCCTTTCCCATTCCAATTCTTTATAATTACGAAAAAAAGCTGGCATCTATTAAGTCAGATTCTATTCATTAGCTGAGGCGCTTTTTTCCTTACGCTTTTGTCTAGCTTCTATCTCCTTCTACAGGTTTAATGGAGTATCAAACCTTAGGTAGATTGCAAGAGGATCATCTTCCGGCCTAGTGAGATCAAATACAACAAACTCACCTTTTCGAAGGTAGCTATTAATGACCATAGATGCATTTTTTACATCATCAGTATAGCGCCTAATGATCTTAGAAATATCTTCATGCGAGCTACCGGAGTTAAAAACTACTAAGTAAGAGGCATTTTCACGAATGAATATAGGGGCTTTGTGATATTTTTGTGTTACATATATGCTTGAAATATTCTGATGTCGCCTATTTCCAAAAAATTGGCCAATTTGGTTTTGTATATACTCTGGAGCTAGACATATATCCTCAAAAACAATCACTGTACTTCGTTCTGGTGAAAATGCTCTAACACTAAGGATTTTTTCTGGTGATATATAGCTAAATCGTATATTTTCATAGTAAAGTGCTTTTGGATCTTTTGAAATTATACCATACATATATCTTACAAATGCCCATATTCGCTCGTTAGGATGATAACCACAAACTATCAAATCATCGCATGCAATATATCTAGACCCTCCTTTCTTTAGAGCTTTCCTTGAACGGATAAAATCCTAGGATTTATCTGGATTATCCTATTATCCAAATTTATATCCGGTTAATTTTATACGGATATCCGGATTTAAGAAATTATGAATGAATAATTCTATAGATTATTCATATTATCCGTATTATCCTGAAAAATGATTAATATGTATAATCTGATTGACTGATTTGATAGTCATGCACAAATCGGCAATCGTATATAAATATTTGGTATTTTGTACTACTTTTAAAAAAACGTTTTTTTTTTTATTCAAAGAATTTATAGAACAAAGAATATTTTAAAGTTTAATCTAAATATGTCAACTGAAAGAACTTTAGAAACACATGTACAATCTGAAGATAACTATATTGATATAATTGATATAGAAAATCATACGCCCGTAACATCACCTTTAGATAATACTAATATAGAAGAATATACAAAAAATGCGTTTGATAAACTTCTTAATAAAGAAGAACATGATTTAGATTTTCAAGCTAAAAATAAGGGAGGATCAAAACTTCGCAGTTGGGTATATAATTGGGGTGAGCGAAAAAATCATCCATCAAATCCAAATAAATTTATTTTTGAATGTAATCAAAAATTAGATAACGGTGAAAACTGTACTTCAAAAATTGAAACTTCCGGTCCTACTGGTAATATTATTAGCCACCTTAATCGAAAACACAAAATTTATGAACATTCTAAACCTTCAGCAACTATTACACCATCTTTAAAACAAGTAAAAATTGATTGTTATACTATTTCATCAGATTCACATCCACAAATGACACCAGATCGTCAAAAATATTTGGAAACTCTTCTTTTTGAATGGCTCATTCTGGATTTTTAACCTTTTTATCTTTTAAAATCTCCTTTTTTTTGTCTATTTATTAATGCTTTAAGTGAAAATTTTGAACTTCCAAGTGATAAAGAATTTTGAAAAATAATATTTGAAGCGTATGAATTTTCAAAAAATAAGCTTAAGCAGTATATCCATGAAAATGCAGCTTTAGTTTCACTTACTTGTGACCTTTGGACTTCACGTAGTAAGCAGGGCTTTCTTGGAGTTACATGTCACTTTATTACACCCGATTTTGAAATGAGAGAAATTACTTTAGCTATTCAATATATGCCCTATCCACATACCGGAGAAGCTATTCAACATGCGTTAGAGAAAATTATTACTCAATGGAAATTGCAAAATAAGGTTTTTTTTTGTACTACAGATAATTCATCTAACATGAAAAAGTGTCTTAATCAAATAGTTTGGTTACATAGATTATCATGCACTGCACACACAATCCAATTGGTAGTTGGGAAGGGATTACTTACTGCTGAAATTCTAATTGCACGTGTAAAAAGATTAATTAATTTTTTTACTTCACCAAAGCAAAATAAGCGTCTTTTAAATACGCAAAAAAAATTTCAGACGATGTTGAAGAAGGGAGTGATTTACATGGAATTTTTTATAGGGCAATAACCGATGTTGAAACACGTTGGTCAAGTACATATATAGCATGGTAAAGGTTAATTGCTTTAAAACCTTATATTGATATTGTTATTTCATCATTAAATGCATGCAAAGACAATAATGCTAAAGAGGACGTTGTAAACGGTCGAATATCAAGCACGAAAAGATGATAAAATTCAATCACTAAATGTAATTGCCAAATATTAACAGTCAGCGGTCATTTCAGATCACTTGCTGATCATTAATTAAAATAATTTTGTGTAACCATAATTGAATATTTCATCATGTAGCTAAAAAAAGAAATTCTTAATACAACGCTTATACAAATTAAGTAAATTAATAGTTCGTCATGTGTATTATAAATTTTCATCATCATTTCCTCTTTAGTAATAATAATTTTTTTTTTTGCATATACAAGAAAATTCGTCTCAAAAATGAAGTTTTCCTCCAGATGCAACTTAAAAGTAGATGTAAAATACAGTTTAAACTATAAAAATATATGTAATTTTACGAGAAGAAAAAGATTTACTAAGTTTAAAAAGGTAGTTATTTAGGTAGTTTTTGTGTAAACTGCAAAAAGTTAATTTTTATAATAAAAAAAAATTTTTTTGATTTCAATAAAACTTTTAGCAAAAGCTTTTTTTAACCATTAATTATTTTATTTCTAGCCATAATATGGCGAAACAAACAACTTTTGTTAAGCTTAGAAGGGTGATTATTATACCAGATTTTTTGTTATTTATAAATTTTGTTAAAATTTTTTAATTAGGACGCTAATAAGAATTTTTTTTTTTATTAGAATAATATTATTAGGTCTATTTGGGTGTCATAAATAATTTTAAATCGCAAAACTAGTCAAAATATAATGTTTTTTTGTTTATCTATATTAGACCTTTAATGCTTAAATATTGGTATTGTAGTAATCATGTAAATTTTTGTAATTTATTAAAAAAAAACTTTAAAATTTTTAAATTTTAGTTCATTTAACAAGAAAATAAAGCAAAAATTATTTATTTATAGAAAAATTCAAATTGGATATTAGGTTTGCTTACCTTGTTAAACCATAAATACAAATAGTATAATATGAATAAGTAAAATGTTTTTTTTATATCTAAAGTAACGTTAAAATAAAAGATATTTATAATATATTTAAAAAAAATAAGCAAAAGAAAAAAGTTAAAAAAGTTTTCTTAATACTTTATTAGATTGCTATATCAAAATAACCATATAATTGACAACCTTCACTGGCCAGATGCAACTGAATAAAGTGAAGTTTTTGACTTTTAAAAGGTTTAAAAATATTTTTCAAACCTTGAACGAACATGTTTACTATTGTTAGAAAAAGTGTTACATTGCATAAATATGGTGTTACCTTTGACCTTAAAATTCTGATTTTAACAAAATTTAGGCCGGCATTATGAATCTGGCCGGAATTAAGAAAATTTTGGCCAGAATTATAATTTAAAAATTAATGAATTTTAACTAATCAAACTAATTTAGCCGAATTTAAATATTAAATAAATATTATATACCTAAAGACTGTATCATATTAAGAATTTTTATTATAATATCATAGTACAAAAAATCTCACCACTAATTTTGCTGAAATGACCAGTGACTGTTAAGAACGAACAAATTAATTATAGATTGGCGTAGATGGATAAATAATTAGCCGAAAAGGTTAAACATTTATGAATAGTAATGATCTACATGATGTAATATTTTTTGAATGATTGACAAAGAACCAATAGGATAATTAGAGTCGATCAATTGCGGCTTAGCAATCTTTAACAATAAGAACAATTAGAAAGAATAATTATAAGCCACAAAAGATAGATTATAAGCAAAACACATAAAGCGAATTGAAAGAATATATAAAATAATGTCGGAAAGATTAAAGAACATAAAATAATATAAAAGATAATATAAAAAGATAGCATAAAGATGGAACGAAAAAGATAATATATTAAAAAGAACATATATAAAAAGATAATATATTAAAAAGAATATATAAAAGATAACATATTAAAAGATAGCGTATTTAAAATATAGATAGTATATTAGAAAGATAGTTCAAAGATAATATGTAAAAAGAACATAAAAGATAGTATATAGATAGAATAGAAAGTAGCATAAAAATTGTATAAATAGAGAGCGGAATTCAAAGTAATTCCATAGTTCTCATCCACAGAACTCAATAAAAATATAAGTTTCATTTAATTATTTGTTAGTAAAGTTCAATATTAATTAAAGGTAATAGGTTCGCCCTAAACTTTAATTAATGTTTGCTTAATTAATTTTAATTGAATAAAATGAAGATGAATTAAATATATGTTTTTGAAAAGTAATAATTCGTAGCGAGAGCTATCGAAGTTTGAAATTAAAGGTAAAAGTGGATATAATTTGGGGAAAATTCAGAGAAGTTAATTTTATTTTATATCGTTTGATGTTTTATATTACTAACGCTATTTATGTCGTGAACCAAGAATGTTGTTGTATATTGTTGTTACATGTTATTCGTTGATTATGTTATAGTTAATTATGCTGTTGATTATTTGTTTGTTTGTTCAATTGTTCGTTCGTTCGTTCATTCGTTCGTTCGACCATGAGAATGCCCGTTCAATGTGGCAACTCTGTAAATTGATGACAGAGGGAATTGGGGGATCTCAACGTGAAAAGGTTAAATAAAGTTAACCTTACTAATGATGAATGGGAAATTATAAGAGATTTGCTTGAAATTTTGGGTTCCTTTGCTGAGTTAACAGAAAGGTTGGAAGGGACGAAATATGCTACAATGAGTTACATATATCCAGGTATCATTAAACTCAAAACTATGTTTAGTCTAACAATAAACTCTAATTTAGATTTGGAAACAAATGATGATGTGTTTGAAAATCATCAATTTGAAGAAGTTGATGAAGATGATGAACCCGATGCCAGACGAAAAATCAAAATAAATACTCCTACTAATACCTTCGGACTTTTGGATGGTATTAAATCAAATCTTTATAAGGCACTTGAAAATTATTTTGAGGTAATTGAAAAGGAAGCACTTATTGCGGCACTTTTAGATCCACGTAAAAAAAAACAGCATTTGCAAACAATGAACAAAAGGTATTAGCAAAAGCTAATCTCCACGAAATTTATGAATTAGCAAAGAATACTAATATTCAACTAGAGGAATGTGAGCCAAAACCAAAAAAAAGAAAAACTTCAACACGAGTTTATAAAAGAAGCTTGTTCTTAGATGATGAATCTCATGATCTTCAGACTGAAGATAATGAAGTTGAACGATATTTAGTAATGGCACAAATCAAAAACGATCAAGATCCTTTAAAATGGTGGGACGTAAATAAGAGTCAATTTCCGGTCTTAGCACAATTGGCACGAAAGTATTTATCTATCCAAGCAACATCGGGGGCAAGCGAAAGGGTCTTTAGCGATGCTGGATTGATAATGTCCTCAAAAAGGACAAGTATGAAGGCGGATTTATTTGAAGCTTTAATTTTTTTGAAAAGAAACGGCAATTTAGTTGGAGTAGGTGAAATGTTTAATAATAATAATAATAATAATATGTGACAATTTTACTAGAGTTTATTTCACTATATGTACTCGTATTAATTAATTAGAATTTATATTTGCTCCACCACTCCTTACATGTTTGCTTTTGCCGAATTATTTTACTAAATAAAGAATTATTGTGATCGTTCTATAAATGAAAAATAAATTTTTTATTATTTTATTACAATGATAAATTATTAATAAAGCACCTCGAAAATAAATTACAAGTTCAGGACACAACCCTATACATGAAATTTCTATCTAATATGCATGATTATTTGTTTTCAAAATACTCTTGAACTCGTTGTTTCTTCATCGCCGGCTCCTTCTCAACATCTACCCTATCCTTCAATAACCCAACAATGGGCGTCTTCACAAAATGCGTGATTGAGATTAAGATTGGGATTAAGAGTTAATCTGATTTCACAAAAAACGTGATTAAGATTAAGGTTAATCTTAAACTGATCATGATTGAAATTTCATATGAAATTTCAATCTTGCTCATGGAGTAAGATTAAGAACAAAAAATTAACTACCCGCAAATTCCTTCTTTTTTCATATATTTTTCTTAATTGTAACATGCATTTATTTTATTTAATACATTTTTTTATAGTTATTTCAAATGTAAAATGCGAGACGCGAAACTTTTGAAGTCTTAAGTTCAATGTGTTTAATAAGTATAATGATTATTATTAAAACAATAATAGTTTGAAGTTCATTAATTTCGTTATTCATTACTAAAAAAATATTATAAGAGGAATATAGAAGTTAAAAAAAATTTATTAAAAAACGCGTAATGGTATATTCGATTTTGTAAAGTAAGATTGAAATGTTAATCTTAATCTCAAGCTGATCTTAATCTCAATCCTAATCTAATCCCAATCACGCATTTTGTGAAGACGCCCAATAACTTCTATCACTCGCTTCACATTTTTACACAATTCTTTTTCATCCTCTGAATTCTCTTTCAAAGCAGACTCGGTAAATCGGATATTAAGAGAATTTTTACTTGTACAATATATTCCGTCCGAAGCGTAAAGGATGAAATACCAATCCGTAGCTGTTGTAACGATTCCATAAATATAATCGAAGTCATCTCCGAATGCATTACCCGCGATTCTGAGCAAAGCTAATGATCACTTGATATAATATCCCTTCCGTGATGCAAATAAGTTCCTCAAGGGCCTTGATTGTATAATAGACTCGACCAGTATTTTCTTCACCAACAATTTCTAACTGGGGAGCCAAAGTAATCTCTTTTTTTGTTATTCTCTTGACAATATATAGCGAAGACCTGATACTTCATGGGAAATATTTCAAGATATCTTACTCAATTTGTACGTAGTTGTAAGTGTAAAAATGAAATTCAATTGGTTTGGTATATTATCAATTTATTTTTTCAACTCAATTTAATTATAGGGATTAGTAAAAAAACGGCAAACTCATGATGAAAGATACATGTATCAAGCTGAAGAATGACCGAAATATATTCGCACCACATGGCTTTATTGCTATCGGCAAGAATAGTCCCCATATTTCCCAACCTGCATTTTATTTCCCTTATACATTGTTTCAATTCCTCATCATCGTCTTCGAGTGTATATGTTTCTAGAAAGTGGAACATTAAAATTAGCCCATCAACTCACGTAATAGTTTGTAAATAATAAACTGAGAAGATAGGACTCACTTGGTGGAAATTGACGGATTGCACCTATCCCATTACCATCAATCCCATACTTTGCTAATACCTCTTTTAAGTCTTTCTGAGTCTTATACGAGGAAAATGAGCGCTTCTTTTTCCTTACACTCCTTAATGAAGTCTGCAAGCCTCGATGCAGGTCCCAGTTTCATTTTATGTCGCTCAAGTTTTTCTTCGGTTAACTTGAGAAAGTCACGCCCATTAACTTTTTCTTCGCGAATAACTTTCAAGTCATCAAGCTCCAAGTCCTCTTCTCTCTGTAAAAATTCGATAAGAGCATCTGTTTTATATTTTTTGATTTCGTCTGCTAACGTGAGTGACACATTTCCAGTTTGAAGGCTTCTGACAATCTGACAACGAAAAAAAAATAAAAAAAAATGGTGTTACGTACTTACGTAATTACGTTCCAATTATATCCTAGGATAATTTGAATTATCCTAGGATGATTACTCGGATTACCCGTTATCCTAATTTGGCAGGATATCCGGATCTTCAAATTTCCCAATGGGTTATCCTAAATTATTCATAGGATAATCCAGTGAAAAGCTCTACCTTTCTTACCTTTATATATATATTCAGCTTTATCATCAAGAAAAAGATTTCCCAAAATATTAGTCTTACCTGATCCACTTATCCCAGTGACTAGCATACGAAAAGTTCATAATGGACTTGCAGGATGCGACTGAATTCGGGATGATTCGTACTTTATGGCCTCATCTATATCCATAAGGTAAAGTTTCATAGGGGTAGTCCTGTTTTTTGGTTCTTCTGTGTATTGGATTGGGAATCCATAACTATGATTTCTATAGATTGGATAAAAAGTTTCTTTCTTTTTGGTTGGACAAAAAGTTCGTCCATATATATACCATATAATTAATATCACTATGAAGGCTAATATAATAAACAAGAATATAAGCGGGATTATATACTGATCAGGGTTACTACCTGTCTCTTATACACATCTAGATGTGTATAAGAGACAGATCCAAGCAACATCGGGGGCAAGCGAAAGGGTCTTTAGCGATGCTGGATTGATAATGTCCTCAAAAAGGACAAGTATGAAGGCGGATTTATTTGAAGCTTTAATTTTTTTGAAAAGAAACGGCAATTTAGTTGGAGTAGGTGAAATGTTTAATAATAATAATAATAATAATATGTGACAATTTTACTAGAGTTTATTTCACTATATGTACTCGTATTAATTAATTAGAATTTATATTTGCTCCACCACTCCTTACATGTTTGCTTTTGCCGAATTATTTTACTAAATAAAGAATTATTGTGATCGTTCTATAAATGAAAAATAAATTTTTTATTATTTTATTACAATGATAAATTATTAATAAAGCACCTCGAAAATAAATTACAAGTTCAGGACTCAACCCTATACATGAAATTTCTATCTAATATGCATGATTATTTGTTTTCAAAATACTCTTGAACTCGTTGTTTCTTCATCGCCGGCTCCTTCTCAACATCTACCCTATCCTTCAATAACCCAACAATGGGCGTCTTCACAAAATGCGTGATTGAGATTAAGATTGGGATTAAGAGTTAATCTGATTTCACAAAAAACGTGATTAAGATTAAGGTTAATCTTAAACTGATCATGATTGAAATTTCATATGAAATTTCAATCTTGCTCATGGAGTAAGATTAAGAACAAAAAATTAACTACCCGCAAATTCCTTCTTTTTTCATATATTTTTCTTAATTGTAACATGCATTTATTTTATTTAATACATTTTTTTATAGTTATTTCAAATGTAAAATGCGAGACGCGAAACTTTTGAAGTCTTAAGTTCAATGTGTTTAATAAGTATAATGATTATTATTAAAACAATAATAGTTTGAAGTTCATTAATTTCGTTATTCATTACTAAAAAAATATTATAAGAGGAATATAGAAGTTAAAAAAAATTTATTAAAAAACGCGTAATGGTATATTCGATTTTGTAAAGTAAGATTGAAATGTTAATCTTAATCTCAAGCTGATCTTAATCTCAATCCTAATCTAATCCCAATCACGCATTTTGTGAAGACGCCCAATAACTTCTATCACTCGCTTCACATTTTTACACAATTCTTTTTCATCCTCTGAATTCTCTTTCAAAGCAGACTCGGTAAATCGGATATTAAGAGAATTTTTACTTGTACAATATATTCCGTCCGAAGCGTAAAGGATGAAATACCAATCCGTAGCTGTTGTAACGATTCCATAAATATAATCGAAGTCATCTCCGAATGCATTACCCGCGATTCTGAGCAAAGCTAATGATCACTTGATATAATATCCCTTCCGTGATGCAAATAAGTTCCTCAAGGGCCTTGATTGTATAATCGACTCGACCAGTATTTTCTTCACCAACAATTTCTAACTGGGGAGCCAAAGTAATCTCTTTTTTTGTTATTCTCTTGACAATATATAGCGAAGACCTGATACTTCATGGGAAATATTTCAAGATATCTTACTCAATTTGTACGAAGTTGTAAGTGTAAAAATGAAATTCAATTGGTTTGGTATATTATCAATTTATTTTT